TGTTGTTTGTATATCTGGAGTCTGGGTTATTGAGGACACTGAATCCAAATTTTCAAAATACAAAATAGACTTTTAAAGCAGAAATGGCTTTTTTCAACTCTTAGTGGGACAACAGAGTCATTGGTGTAAATGTTCAGAAATAATGTTTCTTCAAATTTGCATTTTGTCATTGACCTGTGTCTTTGCTTTTATCTATTAATCATATAAATAACCTCAAAATGTACTCAAAATGAACCAAAATCCACCCATTGGGAGTTTAAACAGCTATGTTGTACTATTGTTATTCAGAATTCTCAATAACCCCCCAAACCACTCCTATATTGTCCAAATCAGCCAATCAGTTGCTGAAATATTGCCCATACAGGTGATTATGCTACTTAATGCTAAATATGCTAATTGACCAACATATGAAAGGTAGTATCTGTCAGTTTCTAAATGCTGGGGACCCACACTGTACATTTCTAACATAAAACTGCAAACAGTTCTGGGCTCACAATGAGGCTATATATATCCTAACCCTAAAATCCAAATATGGAAATACAACTTTTGAAACATGTTAACATCCAACATCCGGGTGGGGAGGTGTTTTGACCGTGGCTCATGTTTTGCTTTGCTCAGTGTGTGAGTGTGTCTGTGTGTATTATGGTGAACAGGTGGGGCCTTGTGATTGGTTCAATGGATGCCAGCCGACAGTTAATTACCCTCCCTTCACTGTCACTGCCAACAGTGAACCAGCCTCTTGTCATATGTCGTCTTTAGTAAGTGGAGTAACAGCAGACACGCCTTTCAAAAGTTTGTACAGTTCGGTGCTGTGTATTTAGTGAATATGATCAGCCTGAGATATTGTCACTATTACCTGTAAGTAATCCTCTGTAAATAGCAGTTTGGGAAGAAGCAGAAGAATCTGACAAGAGCTACAGAAGTATCCACTGCTGTACCACCAGACTACTGCTTCATTCGTCCGCAGCTCTCTACAACGCAATAAAATGTGTTTGATCTGACTTATTAATCGATTTTACTGAATATAATTGTGTGTGTATATACGGGCGAAACCCTGGTAGCTCACCACCACCAAGGAGTCCTTGCTGCAGTGGCCATGGAGTGTCATCCCTCCACTCTCTCCCCATTTCTTGAGCCGCACTATCGATAAAGGCACAAAAAAGCAAAGCAAATATTTGTATATGTTTTTTGTTTTTATGAGAAGCATAAGGGGAACTTCAACATTATACAAGCCTGCGTTGTAAAATTAAATATCCTTGTATCCTTGTATAGTGATTCATCCTAAGTATGAGGAGCTCCAGTTGTCTGGGTAGCCTGGGTACACTGCCTAGCCAGTCTCTAAACACTGTTCAGTAGAGATTGAGGACTTTCTTTGCTAAAATAGGTCGGAAACAGTCAAAGTTGCAACCTGTATTATTCACCAGAAGCCACAATATAAGTCTATGCTCTAAAAAGTTGATTTACATAATCTTTTTAAGTTGAAAACTTTATTTCGATGAGTTGTGTTGACATAAATAACTTTAAGTAATCAATGCAAAAATTATAATTAATAATAAAAAATACCTTTGATTGTAAAATAAAAGCTTCTTTCCCCCTAACTCAATGTAATACATTACATTACTAACTCAACCCAAAAAGATTGATGCAAACTGTTTTTAGAGTGTATATATTTTTAAAAGTGTGTGAATTTACTGGCTTCATCATACAGTTTAAATTGGGTTACAATTAAAATACAACGTTATTGAGTCTTTGAACGGAGGAACAAACAGCTCTGTGAGTGAGAGGAGGAAACTCTCCTCACTCAGCTCTGATTGTGAGTTTGAGACTCACCAGGAACCAATAAAATAGTTCCTGCACAGACGGGTTTCACATTTATTTAGTTTCATTCTCTATCAGGACTTCTTTGACTTAATAATCAGAGTTTCGTTCTTAGTGATCCTGTTTTATTCTATTTATTTAATCAATAATAAAGAATCTGTGTTGATACTGATGGAAATCATTACATATTAAATGACTCATTAACAGTAATGTACATTAACACTGATGAAAAGAAGGATTCTGTAAATAATGAGAAACTTTCTCAAAGGTTTATAAAATTAATAACTCGACTCATTATTTTGAGAATGTTTGTCATTATTCATTATTATTTATATTATATTATATATCTTCAGTTGAATTTGACTCCCTGAGGTGAACATTAGTTTTCCTGCTGAGGACGTGGCAGGACGCGGCCGATGTTTTTCTCACCGGTGACTCTCTGCGGTCGCTACCATTGGTCCACGCTTCGCCAGCAGCCAATCAGGAGCCAGGGCGCTGGGGCCGACCTCCCTGACGTCACCGACCGAGAGTGCGCGCTTGCTGAAGTGGACCAATCAGATCGGCCGAGGTGTCCCGGGCGGCACCGGATTGGCTGCGGCAGCCCCGGAAGCAGCTCTGCGGGGCCGGAGTGCGTGATGGTCGGCGGAGAAAAGGAGACGGTGCGGGGCTGAAACACGGTTCGAGTCCAGGTGAAGCTTCAGCCGCACAGGTAAGAGCTCAGGTGATTCTCAGACTGCAGGAGGATAGTTCAGCCAGTGGTGAGGAGGAGGAGGAGGAGGAGGAGGATGATGGTCAGAAGTGTCTCCGGTTGTTATTAATACAGTGATTACATCATTTATTACAAAATGATCCAACAGCACCAGAGTCGGGCTGCACAAGAATGATTGATTATAGAACCAATATAACCGGATGTATTTGTATTAAAAGTATAAACTATGATAAGATTATTTCTGCTGATGTCACAGAGAGAAAAAAGGATTCTGTAAATCATTATAAGGAGAAACTTTATCAATATTTTTAGACTCAGAAATACTTTATTATTCCCGGGTTGAGGAGTTGTTATTAATACTAACAGAGGTTTAAATTCAAAGGGTGATTACATCATTTATTACCAAGTAAGAATTATATATAACAATGATTAATGATTATAGAACAAATAGAACAAGTATTTGTGTTTTATGTATAAGAAATAAAAATAAATAATCAATATTTTGATAAAGTTTCTCATTATAATGACTTACAGTAAAATAAATAATATGTTTTCAAAGAAAAAATACAACAAATTTTACATTTCAACTTTATTCCAGACACATTAACAATAACAACAATAAAAAACAAACTCCAGTAGAGATATAAAATCACTGCAGTCCAGCAGGATTAAAGCACAGACAGACAGGAGGAGAAACCTGTCTCACATTTTTTCACCCAAATATTCGACACATACACGTGTTATTATTTATTTGTTTGTTATTTATTAATGTGATATTTGGCATTTGGTTCTGAAAATGGTGGAAAACAAACATATTTAAATATAAACAGAAATAAATAAAATCTGATGTTTGTGTCTTTTATCTTTACAGGATTTAAAGTGAGGCTAACTTTTGTTTATTATTAAATATTAATTTAATATATATATATATAATATAAGTTCAAGTCCTCATTCAGTCACAACAGGAGTTATTAAATACTGTGACACAAGTAAAAGCAATGAAAGTATAAATATGTTGTTTAATGTTGTAATGTTGGAGCTGAGTTTTAATCCTTTATGTGCTGTGTCGTATTTTACAAACAGATAAATGTTCAGTCTTTATTAAATGCTCTCTTTGTGTCTGTGGTTCAGTTTTAATATCAGACTGTTTCCTTTGTGTCCGTCAGTCTGTCAGGATGATCCGTCCGTTGCTGATGTGCTTCGTCCTCTGCGTCGTCTTCGGCAGCAGCAAGCCGACGGAGAGGAAGAGTCGAGTTCATGACGAAGAACCCCTCAGCCACCTCGAGCACGACGACGGCAAGAACTACGACTACGACCACGAAGCCTTTCTGGGTCAGGAAGAGGCCAAAACCTTCGACAACCTCCCGCCGCAGGAGAGCAAACGGAGGCTCGGGTGAGTCCAGTAACAGTACTCGTCACCTGACTGACAGGAGCTGCGTGTCTTCCTATAGACTCGTTCAGCTGCAGCCAACTGGAAATCTTCTGGTTTATATTTCCTGGTTCTCAGAGGAAACTGGTTCAACAAGTCCAGCCTGTTTTCTTCAAGTTTACACAGAACACCAAGTTTATTTAAATTACTCAGTTTGGTTGATTTAGTCAGTCAGACTTATATATAAAACTGCTGCATATTCCTTCAATAATCAACTGGTTTACAGGAAATATGTTCGTGTTTTAGTTGAACTGAAGTTAATTTTAGTTTGAACATCAACACAAACTAACAGCCAGGTCGACGTCGGTCTTCAGTGTTTGAGCTTCGACCTTTAACGGTAACTTCGCTGTGTGTCTCTGCAGAATCATCGTGGATAAAATCGACAGCGACAAAGACGGTTTAATCACCGAGGACGAGCTGAAGGTTTGGATCAAGAACGCTCAGAAGAGGCACATTTTCAACAGCGTGGAGCATCAGTGGAAAGACTTCGACATGAACAACGACGGCCGCATCAGCTGGGAGGAGTACAAGAACGTCACGTACGGGAGTTACCTGGGTAACGAAACACGAAACAGCTGTCTGTTTGATTTCCTCCATGACTAGAGTGGTTCTCTGATTGTTACCCTGATCAATTCTCTGATCGATTACCTCCAACAGACGACCCCGACACGAACACCGAGTACAACTACACTCATATGATGTCGAGGGACGAGAGACGTTTCCGAGTCGCGGACAGAAACGGAGACCTGATCGCAGACAAAGAGGAGTTCACCGCTTTCCTTCATCCCGAGGAGCACGAGCACATGAAGGACATCGTGGTGCAGGTGAGTGTGATGTCACTGGTGTCGTGTGATGTCATCGGTGTCGTGTGATGTCACTGATGTCGTGTGCACCTTCACAGGAAACGATGGAAGACATCGACAAGAACGGAGACGGTTTCATCGACCTGAAGGAGTACATCGGTAAGAGGCACTTTCATCCTTAAAGCAGTTTCAGAAGGTCGGTTTGGAGTTACTGACAGATGTTCCAGATGTGCTTCAGATGGAGGAGGTGGTGGGAGGAGCCTTATTATGGAGGTCAGAGGTCAACTGACTGAGAGGAAGTCAGCCAATGCAACGTTCTGATTATAGGAGAGAAAGTTTAATTGTCGTCTGTATTGATGGAATCAAACTCAAATTAAATGTAACATTTAAAACCTCGGTTCTCTTTAGCACGTTATTATCAGACTGCAGACTGAAGCTCTCACACTGTACAGCCTCTGATCAATATTTATTGATCACCTGCATCAGGAACATCACTTCTTTTCTATCAGTTGCATGCTGAGAAGTTTTGTTAAAGGGAAACAATGTGAGTGTAGCTTCAGTTCGGTCAATGTCACCAGACTTTCAAAAGTCTGTACAACCTCAGTTTAAAGTGAGTCAAAAAACAATAATCACAGAAAATGTATTAAAATTGAGTCATAAATAAAAACGTAACGTAGTGAGAATGAACGCTCTCGCTGTTATAATGTTTTTTGTAGATTGATTTAAACATGGCCGCCTGCAAGACGTCTGATTTTAGAGAAAGGGAACTACTGTATATCTAAATTAAATCCTACATTGTGTATAATACAATAAAACTTGAATCCTGGAAGGAAACAGTGAGTGTGTTTCAGTGAGCTCACTGTGTCTGGTCTGTAGGGGACATGTACACCTCAGAGGACGTGGAAGAAGATCCGGAGTGGGTGGCGTCAGAGCGTCAGCAGTTTTCTGAGTTCAGAGACAAGAACAAAGATGGAAAGATGGACAAAGAGGAGACTCTGGACTGGATTCTTCCGTCTGACTACGACCACGCCGAAGCTGAAGCCAAACACCTCGTCCACGAGTCCGACGCCAACAAGGTCCAACTCTCAATCCCACAATGCTTCACGTCTGCCTGCTCAGCCTGACGCCGTTTTCACCTGTTTTAACTCCTGTTTTTTAATCTCTTTGTTCAGGATGGAAAACTCACCAAACAGGAAATCCTCGACAAATACGACGTGTTTGTTGGAAGTCAGGTGACGGACTTCGGCGAGGCTTTACTACGACACGACGAGTTCTAGAGACTCGATGTTCAGATTGAAAACACTGACGGCACTCGTGTTTTTTAAGGATAATTTATTTTGTGAAGCTGCAGGAGAGAAAAAAAAACGTTTTAAACAGCTTCCACTGCTCGGTTTGATGTTTTTATATTATTTCACTTCTTTATATTGCGTCCACGTTCGGGTTGTTTCTGCTCCGGCTGACGACACAGAATCTGGTTTGAAGTGTTTTCCTGCTGCTCTGTCAGTTCACTGATCTCTCCTCCGTTTGGTGCCTCACTTTTTACCTGTAAACCTTCTGTTTCCTTTCTGTTAATGGTGCCATCGAGGGATTTACACTAAAGTTTCGTTTCTGTTCAGAACTTTGATTTATTGAGAAAAAATGTCTTGAACTGTTACTTTTTATATTACTGTTAATAATTTACAGTTTGTACTTGCACACGGACAGAAAGTCGCTGAGTCATATTTTGGACTTCATGCTGTACTTTGACTTTCACAGCCTGTTTATCAATAAAAACATAAAGTTTTAATTTTGTGTTGATAAGCGTTTATTACAGTGTTCAACAATAAAATATCTTTTTTTGTATGAACAACATCTGAGTCTCCAGACAGTATTTCCCCACTGTGAACCCAGAATGTTTTTTATGTAACCTTTATTTAATCAGGAAAGGTCCCATTGAGATTAAAATCTCTTTTTCAAGGGAGTCCTGGCCAAGACCTTGTTGTCTCAAATGTTGAGTACCCCAAACTTTTATGTTAGAAATGTTCAGTCTGGGTCTCCAACATTTAGAAACTAACAAATGGTAACCTGCACGTGTTAGACAAATAGCATAGTTAGCATTAATAATCATATATATATATATATATATATATATATACATATATTGACAATGTCTTGCACAATATAGAAGTGGTTTTGGGGTTATTGAAGATGCTGAATCCATTTCTTTTCATTCATTTTTTATATACTTAATGCAAAACAAAAGCGGCAAAGACAGAGGTCAATGACAAAATAAAAAAGTCACTTCTAAATAAGACACACAAACAGAAACAATCACAGCTTCTCTAAACATGTTCTAAATTAAAGTGTTAAATTCAGTGTTTCCCTGCAGGGTAACTGGAGTCCAACAGACCTGAGATCTGCACTGGTTTTAAAATACATGTACTGAGGCAGCTTCTGCTGGAGACCTTTATAAATAAAACTGACTGAATGTGGTTTTCTTGTAGTTACTAGTGAGTTCACAAGTTGCCACCGTAGTTTCTCATTCCCAGGTCGTTGGTGTTTGGTTTGTCACAATCTGAAACTACACCACTAGATGGCACTAAATCCTACACACTGGGCCTTTAAGCGTATGAGCCAGGTGCCCCTCGAGCTCTTTAGAAGACAGACTGCTGTTTAATTTACAGGTATTTAACACTGGTTCCCAACATGGGGGTCTGGACCTCCACTAGGGGTCGCCGAAGCTTCACAGCAGGGTTGTAAGGCCTTTAAAGAAAACTTTATATTTATACACAGAAGGCCTAAATCTCAGCATTTTGTCTAATTCTGTGACCAAAACAGAATTAAATAGTTTGGTTGGATAAAATGTATGATTGTTAAAAAATGATAATCGGCTGACAACAGATACAGAAGTATTCACTGCTGGACTGTGAGACTATTTTAAATTGATTTTACCTATTAATCAATTTTACTATATATATATATATATTCTGTTTTAGTTTGAAGGAAACTACGACCTGTAGTTAATAAACATTCAGATTAAATTAAAGGTTTTTTAAATGGTTCTGTATAGCTCGGATCGATTGAAGAACCCCGCGGTTCCGGGTGTTACGCTCGTGGGTTGCGCCCACGCCCCTGTTGAAAACTTGTTAATGAGTTAAATCGTCAGCGTTAATGTTTCTCGCTTTTCCTCCGTTCCGGACCCACAAGAAAACCCAGGGGAAACCTTTCAGAAACCACAGAAACCCTCAGAACCACAGTTCGACCAGTTTTCTCACAATTTTTAAAAAAAAATGCATTTATTAATCGGCCAACCGGCTCCCCACTAGCAGCTGCACAGGCCGGTCCGGGGGCGGGTTCGGTGTCGGGCCCGGCGGTGCCCCGTTTTTCCAAAACGGAGCCGCGCCACCTTAAATAACGAGACGATCGATAAACTGAATCAAAGTTTGAAATCGTCAGGTTGAATGAAGGTTTGGTTGGAACTTACTTGGGTTAGCCTAAGCGCTAAGCAGGCTGGAAAACGCGCTGGCTGGGTGTGTGTGTTCACTCGACCGGACACCGCGTACCGCCTGCCAATTTTGTTTTAATTTTAAACGCCGGGCCCGCGAGGAGTTTCTGGGCTTGCGCTTTTCCCGGGATCGGTTCCCGCGCCACGGTGGAACCCGGAAACCGAGGCGCCCGCTGTTTGACGCAAATCCCATTCATTTTTTAGCTTAGTTTTAAGCTTAAGCAGTGCGGCTTAAACCTTACCTTTGCGTGCCTTTCCTTCCTTTCTTGTTGAGAACTGGCGCAGTTCGTTTATCACGCCGTTCGTTACCGCGAAAAAAAACTCCCCTTTGGTCCGAGTCGGACCAACTTAAAAAACCCCTGTTCCACCGGGCGTCGCTCTCCGGGTCCGGGTCCGCCGGTTCCACTTTTTCCTTGAAGACGGATCTCTTGGAAAAGCTCTTCCGAAGCCACCCCCAAACCGATGGCTCGGCTCCTTCCCGGCCGGCCGGTTTCGTCTCCCTCCCGGTCACAGGCTGGAACCGCCTGGTTTCCACCCAGCTAGTTTCCTGTTGCCCGCCTCCATTGGGCTTCGGGTGGAAAGTCAGGGGCCGGACGATAGGCCAGGAAAAAAAGTTTCGAACCCAAACACGGGGGATCGGGATCCTTTACGGTTCGGCTGTCTGAAGGGGCGGGACCGCCATTCGAACAGGTTTTCCGCTGTGCAAACCCGCCGGATCCTTTCTCCCGGCGGCGCGAAAAAACAAACAAGCCCAGAAATTAAGTTCCGGCCTTTCATTCATACTTTACGGCAGAGCTCCACTCAAAAAACCTTCATTTAAAGTCGAATGTTTATTAAAAAAATAACAAAAAACTCATCAAACAAAACCTTTAATTTTTAATCTGAATTGTGGATTAACAAACAAGTAACAGAACATTGTAAAGTAAAACTTTAATTTAATTGAATGTTTTACTTAACAATATAAACGAAACCATTGTTAAAAAAAAAACCCTTTAATTAATTGAATGTTTATTAAACAATATTAACAGGAACTCAATTTAAAAAACTCAATTTAAATCTGAATGTCTTATTTTAACAAATATACAAGAAAACTCACCAAAAAAAAAAAAACCTTTTAATTTAATCCTGAAATGTTTAATTAAACCAAAGTTTACAAACATTTAAAAAAACCAGAAACTTTAAATTTTAATCTGGGGATGTTTTATTAAGAACAAAGTATACAGAACCATTTAAAAAAAAAAACCTTTTTAATTTAATCTGAAATGGTTTATTAAACAAATATAGGAACCCTTAAAAACAAAACTTAATATGTGAATATAAAAAAACCATAATCCGAATAGAACTCATTAAAAAAAACCTCATTAAATCCTTGAATGTTTCCAATATTATACAGAAACTCACTCAAAAAACCTTTTAATAATCTGATGTTTATTAAACCAAAATACAGAACCATTAAAAAAATACCCTTTAATTAATCTGAATGTTTATTAAAACAAATAACAGACACTCCCACTCAAAAAAAACCTTAATTTTATCGGAATTTTATAAACCAAAAATACATGAAACCCAACAAAAAACTAATTTAACTGAAGATAACATAAATTATTTTTTACAAAGAATAAGAGCGTTGCCAACTCAATAAAAAAAAAAACCTTAATCTAAAAAAAAATACGTATGGGTAAAATCAATAACAGATACTCTCTCCAGAAACTTTAATTTTAATTGCTGATGTTTATTAACAAAATACAAAAACAAAAGAAACTCCGACTCAAAAACCCTTTTTTTCAAATTTAATTTCTGAAATGTTTTCTTAAACAAATATA